GAAGACAGGCTGAGCTGGCAGTCCCATGCTCTCCTGGCTCTCTCTGCAGACAGCAGGATGTACTTAAGGGCTCTTGGAGGGCCCAGTGCTCACATGAAGCACTCCCAGCACTGCTGACGGACCCCCTTCCCTTCCTACCCCACGCCTGCCAGCTTCTCAGGACCTACCCTTCACCTTCCCTGCACTATGTGGCATTTCTTCTTCACTCCTTTTCCTTGCAGCCCCTTCCCTGGGGCTCTGAGAAGCAGATAGAGACTGCAGAGGCTATTTTCTATGTATCTTTGTGGGGGGTGTATAGATGGCTACAGATTTCAGTTGTGCAAACTCCCAGAAATAGCTTTTGCAGAAGTATACATGACTAATACAACCTAAAAATAACCCGGTGGCAACACAAAGTGTGTATGAAGTTGGGAGATGCAGATGCAGAAGGTACAGACCACTTCTCTACATAGATCCATGTCCCAGGGAGCGCCTCTATGGTGCTGTGCTTCCAACCTTGGTCTTTGTGCCTTCCTTGACTGAAGGACTTGGCTTTGGAGATTGCTCCTGCCTTCAGGGAGTGGCTGATGGAAGGTTTTGCAGAACATTTTGTTATTACATCTGAAACAAACTCCCTGAGTGGTGCACAGTTTTGCAAAAAGGAGGGGGCTGGTTGACCCCAGCCAGCAGCACCTCTTCAGCACACCAGGGTCCATGTGTGGGCAGTGCAGCACGGAGCAGAGCTATTGCTCTCTGTCTGAGGACCTTGCTCTTCACAAGCATTGCGAAGTGCTCAAAAGCATCCAGCTGCTCTCCTGTGCAATTAGTTTTAATATTACCTGCTTTCGAGAAATAGATTCAAATTAGCTTCAGTGAGTTTACCTTCATTTTTAATAGTAGCACCTGAGAATCAGCAAAGTTCTCCACAAATCCAATGCCCCAAATGAATATATGAATATATTGAGAAATTAGCATGAAATGGACTACATAGCAAACTTATTTCACGTCTCCAGACAAAGACAAATGAAAATCAAGAATCTCTGCAGCTTCCTGGAAGAAAAAAACCCTATCTTATTGAATAAATTACGCTTGAAAAGGCAGCTGTGTTTTCTTAATGGTCAGAGATTGATTCTCAGGACTAGAAGCCTGAACCAGCAAGCAAAGTACCCACTTCTGTCTGCCTCAACCTGGGGGTTCGTAGCAGCAGAGCTGAGTAAATAATCCTTAGAAGATAATTTACTCACACAAAAGCTTTTTTTCTTTTTTTTTTTTTTTTTCCATTTACCGAATGTCAGTACCTTGATTGTGGCTTCCTCTAATTTATTTGTAATTCAAATTTAGCTGTTCAATTTATTATCTTTCTTCTTTTGTAACAGGTTAGATAGACTGTGAAGGGTCTGCTGCAAGTATTTCAACCTGCCTGTTTCAAAGAGGGCTGAGTTCATCACCAACTCCACCACATAGGGCTGGGTTTTTCCTCCTGCTGCATCAGTGCAGATTTTGTGATCAGGAAAAGCTGTTTGGGTTGCTGTTAATAGGTTTTGATCTGCTGGAGGAGGTTTGCTTCAGCCCCGGGAAAGTGATGGTATCACAAGCTCTGCTGTTGTATGAGCACAGTTGAAATGCAAATCTTCTTTTTATTGCCTTCACTTAAAATAACAGCACCTGCAGCCATGGGGCAGCCAAATGCATGGCCAAACCCTCATCTAACTGCCAGGTGCCTGGGCTTCAGGAAAGTGTCCTGAGGAGCTGGGACCTAGCTGCATTAAGCACTATCCTTTCTAAATGTACTAATTGTAGAGATCACAATGAAGAGAAATGATTGCAGCAATGGTGAATGAAGGATTTTGTCCCTCATTAGGCAGGTTTGAGCTCAAGGCTCTGCTACAGCTTTGTCATGTCAGCCCAGCACTTCTGCTACATGGCAGAATTCAAGCGTGCAGATTTCAAACGGGCTTTCCGTGGGTACTCATGCAAGCCAGACTCCGTCTTTTGAATGTCTATGGGAAGCAAACAGAAAAGAGAGGAGAAGTCTTGGCAAAGGGTATCCATTTTCAAACCACAGCCCAGTTAACACAGTTCCTGCTGCATCCTCTGGATGTGAAAGATAAAACCATAGATCAGAAACGAGTCAGCATCAGTCAACCACATCTTGGACAGGACACCAGCTCTCCATGAGTTTTTGCTGCCATTCACACTGCTGCTTACCTCTCTTTTTGCATAACATGGTTGTAAATAATTATGTATTGTTATCTTTCTGTACTTGGTGCTGGTGAGGCTGCACCTCAAGTACTATGCTCGGTTATGGGCCCCTCACTATAGGAAAGAGATAAAAGCCCTGGTGCACGTCCAGAGAAGAGCAATGAAGCTGTGAGGGGTCTGGAGCAGAAGTCTTACGGCGAGCAGCTGAGGTAACTGGGATTGTTTGATCTGGAGAAGAGGAGGCTCAGGGGAGACCTTATCAATCTCTACAAGGACCTGAAAGGAGGCTGTGGTGAGGTGGGTTTTGGCCTCTTCTCCCAAGTAACAGTGATAGGGTTAGAGGTTCTGGTTGGATATTAGGAAAAATTTCTTCTCAGAAAGAGTGGTGATACATTGGGACAGGATGATTAGGGAGATGGTGGAGTCACCATCCCTGGAGGTGTTCAAGAACCATGTAGATGTGGCTCGGAAGGACATGTCAGCGGGCATGGTGGGGACGGGTTAATGGTTGGACTAGATGATCTTAGAGGTCTTTTCCAACCTCAGCGATTCTGCGACTCTACGAAAAGGACAGTCTTACCAATAACTCATGTAGATCTGAGTAGAGGATGTATTTACAGAACAGTGCTTCCCAGTTACAGTGAGAATGAAGACCTGAGCTAGGAGGAGAGCTGCAGGATGGGTTTGAGTTACTGGAATTTTTCTTCACATGATCAAAAAGACAGCTGTTGTTCAGAACAGCTTGTGGACCAACAAGATATCCAGCACATAAAGGCAGAGACAAAAACAATTGTAACGTAAAGTTGCAGTTTAAAATAAATTTCAGTTATCCCAGTTGCTGCCTTTCTGTATCACTGACAGAGCAAATCTTCATGATAAAAGCTGAGGAGGAGCAGGAAGGATCCAAGGCCCTGTGGATAATTCAGGAGCAACATGCCATGCATGAAAACTGCTTCTGAAAAATACATGAGAGGAGCTTTGCTAAAAAATGTACGGTGGAAATGCTGGTTTCCTTGGAAAACTCTTGAGCAATAAGCAGAAAGAAGAGAAAAGCATCCCACTGAGAGCATAGCTGACCTGGCTGGAAAAGAGATCTCCTGCCCTCCCCTTGCAGTCACTAGCACCTGCAACACAATGAGGGCTGCGGGCAGCCCAGCTGGTGCCCACTGCAGAACCCCATGGAAACCCTCATGCAGAATGAGAGGGACTCAGCCACTCCAAGCAGCTACAGGGGTTTCCCTATGTTATTAGAACATTTTTAATGGCATCAGTTCTGGTCATCACACGGTGAAGACATGCATGAATGGACCAGCATAGGGATCATTCTTGTGCCTTTCCTCCCCAGCAAGATAGGACTGGGAAGAAAAAGCACTTACAGAACCCTTGAAACAAGATACAATTAGAAGTGGCTGAAAAGGGAATTTTGGGGAAAAAATAACACAGTCATTTTTTTTTTCCCACTTGATTTTAAAAGGAAAACAAAATTTTCCTAGATGTATATAGTTAGTCTATGGAAAGGAGACTTCACACAGAGTTGTTTTATTTTCTTAAAGTGGTTGAGACATCCCAAATTGGTAACTTAGCATTTCATGTTACAATGTCAGAAGGAGAGATTGGGTTTTTAAAATACTAAAATGATTTTTTTTCCTTGCATATAAAGGAATGAATTCTTTGCTCATATCATTCTGCCATGCTCTGTGGAGAGCTCAGCGAGTCTACAAACTTTCAGGACAACCTGTCACAGTCTCTAGGAACACACTAAATAACTGTTAACCAAAGCATGAAATATGAAACACAGCACAAGATAGAATGAAGTAAAACTCTGCTCTGCTTTCAAATCATGCATGAACAGATTTCCTTGCAATAGGCACAGCTGATTTTTTCCACTTCCTCTGTGTTTCCCTTGTGTTCTAAAAAAAACAAAACAAAACAAAACAAAAACAAAAACAACCCCAGCATCTCAAAATATTCCATCTACTCCAAGTTTTTATAATCCTAAGCTGGATCTTATAAAAAATGAGCAGGGAAAGCAGCACCACTACTTCTGCAGACGTGCTTTACTTGCTGGTTTTTAAGTCAGGAGCAGCACAGTTGACCTTGAGGGGTTTCACTCCATGTCCCCAAATAGCTGGGGTGCAGATGGGGCTAAGATCACCCTTGCCCAGATGGCAATTTATGGATGTTATTATGTATAGGGTGCACATTAAAATCACCTAAATGTGATTTTCATTCAGTGCTTTTCACCTTGCTTTGCAGCTCTGCGCTGGTGAGCCAGCTTCCAGCCTGGCTCAGATTATGGCTGAGATTTGGTAATTCAGCCCACACTCATGTGCAGTTGAGTGGTTTCCAGTGCTGTGCAGAGCAGCAGCTTGTCTTCCCTCTTCCCACAGAAACAGGCCCAAAACCCCATAGTTTTCAGTGATGGATCTCCCTGCAGCATAGGCATGTTTGGAAGGAAAAAACCCACAGACGTATGCCTGCCTTGCAGCTTCATTGGGAGAAACAAGAGTAGCAGGCTCTGGAAGTAAATCTGCCTCTCGCTCAGAACCAGATCACCGACAAGTGTTCGTCCATCTGCTGTCAGCAGTTCAAACCATGCATCTGTCAGTGGGGTGTTACAGTGGTGTAATTCATTGAGGCTTTTTTGGAAGGGGCTGCGTGCCCACGTGGTGGGGCTGCTGGGGACAGAGACGCTCCTCTGGATGCTCTGGTGCTGGGTGGGAATGGTGGATTGGTGCCAGTGATGGAGGGATCCCAGCACAGCTGTCCCTCAAATCCCCATGCCGGGGTCTCATCTGCAGCTACTTGTATCAGCCCCGGCACTGAACCTCTGCCCTAGCATTTGGGTGTCAATCCCTGTTGTCATCACTCATCCCATGATGTTCTTACATGGACAAGAGGCACACGTGCTTGCGTTACATTCCCTGCAATACTGCAGCAGCTGGCAGTGTGACCTGTGCTTCCCAGGGCAGTGATGCCCCTCTAAGGTTGGCTGGTCACAGAACCCATGGACAGAGCCACCAAGTTCTGCAAGGCCTCTCTAAAATGTTGCCAGCATCTCCACCACTGCATCCCATAGCGCTGCAATGTAACTGATACTCCAATGAAAATGGAGTCAGGAAGATTATGCTGAAGTTGTAGCTCATTAAAGGAAAACACACTGAGATGTTTTTATGCCGCTGTATCTTATAAAAGAGCCAGTTAAGACCGCTTATTACGATAATTACAGCAATGTAAAGAGAGACCTAGCAAACATTATAGCACTTAGTAAACCATCATTGGGGCTTAAATGAAACATATTTAGGACTCAAACAAGGCATCTCCCACATAGCAGGGCAGAAGATGTCTGAATGGGTAGCTCGGTTGCCTGCAGTGTCCCCAGCCCCAAGAGAGGGGTAGAATTGGGACACAGGACCAGGTGGGTGACTTTTCTGGAGACAGACAGCTTAAGGAACTCTTGTTATCCACCTCCATCACACTGGCTGCTGCAGGGATCATGAATCAAGAAAGAGACTGTTAAGGACTTCTACCATGTGACACGATGCCCTAGTAAATCCCCCGCTTACACCCCCTGCTTCCAGCACCAGGAAGAACTGGACCATAGAATTTAATAGCCCTGTTGGGACTTGTCCTCCCTTAATTTATCCAGACCCCCTCTGATAAAGAATTTATGTTCTCATCTCTGAAGTTGGTGTCATCTCAGACCATGTACTCTTCTACAGCTAGATTTATACCAACATCCAATTAAAACTCTCTTCAACCCTTTTCATTACTTGCACAAACAATTTTGTTCTGCTTTGTTTTGGTAAAGCCCATATTTTCAGAGCAGACTCTCTCACTGCAGAATTTGCCAAACTGATAAAGAATTACAGACTCCCCTATATGTCTCTCGGTCCCTCACAGAACCTGTATCACTGCACACTCCCATGCAGGAAGCCAGCCCCATGTAGTCTACTGCCATCCTCTTTGTTGGCACTTCCAGATCTTTCCCAACACTCTAAGATTATAGAATCTTAGAATCATAGACTGGCCTGGGTTGAAAAGGACCATAAAGATCATCTAGTTTCAACCTCCTTACTATGTGCAGGGTCACCAACCACTAGATCAGGCTGTGCAGAGCCACATCCAGATGCTCCATGATGTCTAATCCTCACTGCCATCGTGTGCATGGCAGTGAAGCCCTTGCAGAAATCTCAAGCCTGATTTGGCTACTCTTGGCTCTGTGGTTTATGAACTGACCACAGAGCCTATAACTTCTACCCCACTTCCGCAAGGTCATGCAGTCTCAGTAGGTGATGCTCACTGAGGTACTCATGCCACCACAGCTGGATTTTTATCCAAATACTGTTTCACTCTCAGCTGGTTTGCTTTTTCTTGAATTATTTCTTCATTCACAGTTTACTGAGGAATCAGGGCTGGAGATGCCTGCATCAATCTCCTCTCCCACAGCTCAGCTCCTGCTGCAACTAAATTCTCCTTGCTTTGATTGGCTCTGCAGCCCTGGGGGCACCCAGTTCAGCACACACTGCATGAGATGATGCGGATCATGCTTTCTCTCAAAGGAGTACAATGCGTATTTGGCTCCACACAACTGGATTCCAATCACCTAGAAAGAAGATGGCATTCAACAAAGCATTGCTCAGGTTTGGTTGTCAGGTTACAGCCATTTAGGGTATGCAGGAAGGCAGGTCAGCCCACAGCATCCATTTCACCTCTAAACAATTATCCAGATGGTGCTTGGCCTGCTGAGCAGTATCCTTTACAACATCAGTGGCCTTGCACAGAGCTCTGCTCCAGTTGCCCTCACTGTAAAGGGTAAGCCTGGAAAAATAAAAACAAAAACATTTTCCTTTTTAAACCCAATTTAAAGGATTTAGAAAAGACACTGGATGGTTTTTGTTTGTTTTTTTTTTTTTTTTTTTTAAAAAGATCTTTGACATGGTGATGAAAATGAGCATGCAAACAATTGCATGTGAGAACTGATGATGTGTGCCAGCGTGCAACAGGATATTGAGTTCTTTATGTTCCTATTAATTGCAGGGGACTTGACTGGGTGACCCTTACGGTCCCTTCCAACTCAAACGCTTCTATGATACTATGATTCTTCATCCTTTTAGCAGAAGCTCCATACCAGCCCTTTGCTGGCCTACGGTGGCTTTCCTGCTTGCAGTGATGTGTGCAGGTAGCATCACTGCTCAAAAAGGTGGGCATCGGGAAGGTCTGGTACCAAACCAAGCAGATGAGTGTCTCCAGGTCACAGAAATGGCTGATCTTTAGGGGATCCATAGAAAATCTTGACAGCTAGCAGCCTGTCCCAAGGATACGCACCCCAGCACCAACTGCGACATTCACGGGCTCTGCCTGCACCCATGCACTGGGACAGGATTGCCCCCACACTGAGGCCACCCACATCCGACCAGCATCATGGCAGTTATATGGCCATCAGCTGACTGCCATTGTTGAGAACATGCCTGATTTACACCAGTGTAACCCAGCCAGCTCGGATTTCCACTTCTGTAGCTGTAAGTAAATGCACCAGTTCTCTGCAGCCAAGCCTGACTCCAAAACCTGCTCTCTTTTAATAAAATAGAGCTACTTAAGCCCCTCATGCGCAGTCTTGACATTAAAACATATTTAGATTTAAACACAGTGTTTTGTAAGAAAGTATATTTTTTTTCTTTTAGCCAAATGTATTTGAATACCAGAGTTTAGCAGACACCTCCGACTGGCTGATTCATGCCTAGTTCATTTTTCCATTTAATCCATTTTCTCTGAAAATGAGATATAAGCAGTGAAGCAATACAGTTTTATTGGATCCAATGCACTGCCACTAAAACAAATATACGTACACGCAGGCCACTACATTTTTATTAAAACAAATAGAATTTAATTCAAGCCAGCATTCAATAACTACAGCTTGGGTTTGTGGTTTTTCCCTTTTTTGTATGTTTTTAAAAGAAATTAAATCCTTCTGCTACTTCTGCGTATGTTCTCACAATCAAATTCATTTGACCTAAGCAATGCATATTTATCATAGATAACACATTTTTATTAAACAGAAATGTACAGAAACTAGATGCTGACAGAAATCCTAACCACATGTAAAGTTAGATCAGGAGGACAGGTAGGAGTGTTCTGATGGTTATTTGTTATGCTTGTAAAAAGCACTCAGTTCTACTCAGGATTTAATTTTCTTCAGACTCCACACTTGGGGTGATGAATTTCTTCTCAGAAAAGAATTTTTGGAAGCCAGTGACTTTCCAGAAAAACCACACTGGCAGATACAGGTAGACCATAGAAAAGCGTTCACTGTTCACTACAGTGGGACAATAGGACTAAAATACCTGATAAGTAGCGGGGCTCTGGTGATTGGTGTGGAGCAAGGGTCTGGTGCAGTGAGATCAACACAGAAAGGAAACAGGGTCATCATTTACAGTGATATTTGCTTAATCACATTTCACAAAAGCCTTAAGTTGCACTTCCTAAGTCTTTGCAGCACATCATTCCTTTTGAGAAGAGGAATTGGCATCGCTCTGCAAGCCGAACTGTTTTCTCCCTAAGAAAAACACTCTGGGGATGTGTGCAGTCAACAAAGTACAGTTGGAAAGAGTATTGTAGTGAGACAGCAAAGGAACAAACAGAGAAGGAATGCTCAGCCATATCCAAAGATTTAGGCTCATAATGAAAAGCTCCACAGAGAAGGGATCTCCAGAAGAGATCCTTCCTAGTGGCAGTCAGCCCTTAAATGGGGTCTAGGAGAGGTGCAGCCAGGCTCCAGCCCTTCTGGTCACACAGCTGAATCGCCTTCACCTGTGCTCCATGGCTGACTCAGTGCTTGCCGCAGGTGGTCAATCAGTGGTTCAGGCCATGACTCAACAGTTCCCATACAGGAGGCTGCTGAGATGTCTCCATGTGATAGAGGAACACAGGTCTCAGTCCAAGTCAGGAGAATGTATGCATTTAATTTCCACTCACTTATTTCATTTCTTTGTTATGGGTAAAGCTCTGGAAAAGGAAATAATTCCATAATCTTTGTATGAAAAATAACTGCAGCATATGGTAATGGCCTCCTTCGAGCTCATGGCTGTGACAGGGATGGGAACATTAGCACTGCGGCCATCCAAGAGGCACCTTGGCTGCACTCAGACCTGCCACAATGGTAGATAAGTACATTTACAGCCACTCAACCATAATTTTGATTGCTGTATGCAACCCACTGGGGCTGACAGAAGATGTTGGGTTTACAGATGTCTTGGCAGGATTGGTGTCAGAAGGGAGTGCACAAAAATAGGGAGGTTCAGCAATAGGGGCATCTCCTGATGCATCCTCTGCTTTTTCCTCCCACATGCTACAAAGCACTGAGCTGTGTTGACCTTCCCTCCTGAATCAAGGGCTCTCTCTGGAGTGTCAGTCAGGAAAGCATCATTAGATAGCGGTTGTGGGGGTGTACCATCCCCTCCATATGGGCTGAACAGCTGTCTTTGCAGACTTCCCAGCCAGGGGAGCAAAGGATTGAGTTCAAGACCCATATCCAGACATCCTCCCCCACATTGCGCTGAATGGCAGCACGGTGCAGGTGACAAAATGCTTCCCCTATTTCCAATCCACTTTGTCAGAGGCCAGCTACCACTCCCATGCCTCCTTCTCAGTGACGACATTTCCAGTCAGCAGCTCAGCAGCTGCGCCTGCCTGTCAGGCTTCTCCTCCCTGCCAGCCTGGTGCAGAGAGAGGAAAAATCCCGACCCGACTCCGAACAATTTTAATTAATACTGACATTCATCAAGCTGCAGAGGAAACAACTGCTGCTTGTTGCTTGGCTTCAAATGAAAATAGTAGAAATAAATGGAACTGTCAGAAAGTTGTAGACCACCCCATCTTCAATACAGCTAATGCACAGAGAAATGAGTTGTGAGCAGCAAGAGATACAGAAGCTTGTGGAGAAACTGATGGACTGCTCAAGAACAGGCTTTTTCTGACAGGCAGGCTGCTTCCAAAATCACTCTGCCTTCTCCACTTGTAGATACACAGTTTTACTTGGGATGCTGAAGGCAAGTCTGCTGTTCTGCACATTTCTGCAGGCAATGGGCACACCATGCTTTGGATATACTCTGTATTCAAAGCCAAAAGTCAAGGTCTCCCAGGAACTGCCTGCCTTACTTGTACTGACAAGGTGAACAGGTCTGGTACAGGCTTACCATGATAGAAAGGGCAAATAGTTGCACTGTATCAGTATAAAATCTAGACAGTACATACTTGTTCTTCTCATAGAACCATTAAGCTCAGAAGATCTCTAAGATCATGTTCCAACCATTAATCCATCACCACCACATTCACTAAACCACGTCTCTAGAAGCCATCTACAAGCCATCTGAGCAGTGCTACAAGCCACCTTACCAATCTGCTGGTCATCCAACAAACCTTTTCAATGTTGTTGGAGAAGCATTAGCATTATGGGGGTTGGACTCGATGATCTCTGGAGGTCCCTTCCACCCCCTACAATTCTGTGTGATTCTGTGATTATCTCAGCTTTCTACTAAGAAAATCTTTGAATGTTTCTTCCTGCTTGTTGACAGATAAAAATGCTTCCTTGAACTCCTCTGTAATATCTATTTCCTGGGCAAGAAATAACATCTGAGCTGATACCCACAAAAGTTTATTAAAAACAGCCAACCAACTAATTGTGAACTTGTTAGAACTTCATATTTCAAGTAAACTTCTGTAGGGCAGGAAAAAACTGATTTGTAATCCCTCTGTGAAGGTTAGCTCCTGCTGTGGCCCAGAGCGCCCTATGGAGACCCTGGGGACAGATATCTCCAGTACTGATTTGGGCTAAAAATATTCTGATGCAGACCCACATCAACACCAAGTATCTGTCAAGATAAAGTAGTTCTGTCTTCCAGGAAGCAAGTCATGTAATAACTCACCAGTCTTTCCCAAGTTATGAAGTAGGGTCAATAACAAATAAAGATACAAACACATCCAAGCTCATGTTCACTTTCATACAATCAATGAATATTAAGATGCCATGATTATGAAGTAAACAAGTGAATTAGGCAAAGCAAGTTATAATAACATAAAGAGAATAGATAGGATGCTTACCTGTATCCTGGGCTCACTCATGAAACTCCAGCAGAGTAGATCTCCAGATGAGATCCTTCCCCACTGGTAGCCAGCTCTTAAATAGGTCTAGGAGAGGTGCAGCCAGGCTCCACCCCTTCCAGCAGCACAGGTGAATTGCCTTCACCTGTGCTCCTGTGGCTGACTCATGGCTCGCCTCAGGTGATCAATCAGAGGTTCAGGCCATGATTCAGCAATTCCCATATGACTTTTTTACCTTACGTGCATACTGCATGAATGGATTTATGAAATTCTGCAAAGTGTTCAGAAATTACAGAATCTGACCCTGATGGTGTTTAAATAGCTGTAGGCCCCAAAACAGACACACACACACCCCTATATGCATGATTGCTGCAGAACGGGAATCTGGATTCAGTCACAGCGTTCAACTTATCAGAATATCTTCACGACCCTTATTTTTAAAGTAATTGCTTAATATAGTACAATAAAGCAGTTATCCTGTAGTGACTTTCAGATGGGCCCTCCAATTCTGAAAAATAAATGTGAATGACAAATTATTCCTCCAATATCACTGAAGTAAAATGCACCTCTTTTTCCTCCTTTAGCTCTAGCCAGCAGCAACTGTTGACTGCTGATAGCTTACAGACAGCACATTTCCCTTTCAGGAAACAAATATTGTTTTATTTCATTGAAAAAAATATCCCCCATAATGTCAGCTATGAAATACAGTAACTGGTCTTCAGCAATACATTGAATTATACGCACCTAAAGTATTGGAGCCCATAAATTCATCAGATGGTGCAGGCCAGGGGGCTTGTGGAGTGGAAGGGATTTGTCTCTTGCCCCCCCCAAGGGAGAACTGTCACCCCACTGCTGAGATATTGTTTGAGTGGTAGCTCTCCCGGGGCAGAACAGGTAGAACTTGCTGAGTCTGTTTGTGATGTGCTTATCTATTATTGACATTCATACCCTGTAATAACTCAGAGAATATAAATAGAAAATATATCCACTCAAAACGTTCTTTGGATCCTGCGATGACAAATTCCTACTGCAGAAAAGAGACTAACTGGGTTCCTGCCAGCCCAGTCCCTGTGGCAAATACTTTGCCATCTTCTGTGGTTGGTTTCCGAAAGTGTGCACTTGTGGGGATGTGTCAGAAAGCATAAAAGAAAATCATAAGTAGCGTTAATACCACTGACACGGTGTTAAAACCTACTAGCATCAGTTCAGCAATTACATCATCTATGCTGGCAAAGATGATCTACATTTCCCCTACTTATTTTCCTGTATTTTTGGGAGCCTTGTTCTATTATTTTTATCCCCCTGACATTCTCCTCTGTTCTTTCTTCCATCTTCTCTAAGCACGGTAAGATGTCCTCTTAGCAGCCTCTGAGAGATACTTCCTACTTAGTTAGCTTTGTGGTGGTAAAGCTAAGTAAGTGTTGAATCTCATTTTCCAGTACATTCTAACAAAGAAATAAAATAGCATTGAATGTAACAAAATACATTTTTTTTTCAGGCTAAATGAACAGTTTTAATTGTTTGCGTTTTTTTCCATGCTGGTAATGATTTTTTTCAATGCTGTGTTATTTCCATTATGGCTTGCTTTGTAATTCCTAATCCATGTCAATCTTGAGCAACTAATTGAGAGTTAAAACACAATATAGCCTCTTTAAAATGAGAAGCATCCTTGCCTATACTAATGAACAACTTTGCTTGTTATCGTTAAGTTTATGCAGCACTTTTTGCAGCGTGTACTTCTATTTCACCCTCCTGTAGTTCTCCCATCAAGCGGGTATCATTATGAATAGTTTTGCCAAGAACAACAAAAAATCAGTTGATCTGAAATTTCAGTGAAATAATGAGACCGTGTCTTCTGACTTGGTCATTTTGGAGGAGATTTGGTTTAGCTCCCAAACTATGACTTCCATCAGATGGACTTACATTAGCTGGATTTGCCACCCTTGCACCTGTAGGGAAGATGCAAGCTGTAGGCAGTCTCAGGGAGAAAAACACAGCATACCTCTAATTTCAATCTATGCATCTCCCTTTTAATGTAAACAATCAATCACTATAGAACAAAGTGCAATACCAAGTCTTTTCCCCACTGAGGTCAAGTAGTGACTTTGAAGCGAGAGAACAGGATTCACTGACAGAATGATAGACAGTTAGCACATGCTATGTTTAATTGAAATGAATGAACTTGATTATTTGGTTTCCAATAAAGCAAAATAAATGGCACGTAAGTCCATAAATAATTAAGAATTTTTGGTTGTTTCTTTGTTATTATTTTTTATGCTGAGAAGTGGGTCACTCGGTATGTGCATAAACAAAGAAGATAAATGGCTGGAAGAGGAATGAATTTTCCATAACCTGATTAAAGGATACGTCTGGCTCCTCGGAGAATGTTATAGTGCTTAACGATTTTGTTGTTGCTGTTCTTAATGTGTCTAATGTTTGCTGTTTAAGAAAATCAAGAAAAATGTTAAAAGGTTGCTCCAGAAGGGAGCTGCGAGCCAAGGGAAGGATGCAGCTGTATTTAGCCAGCAGACCGAGAGGAGAGAGAGCAGATTCCTCCACCTTAGCACAGGGTAAAACCTCACTTTACCTAAAATGAGGGGCTGGTAAACTCCCCAGGACTTGCGTGCTCTTTGTGACCTGGGGCTGGGGAAGAAATCCCAGCACACTCAGTGTAGAAGTACTCTTATGGACTGAAAATGTTCTTCAGCAGCCACTTCTCTGGGGCTGGGCATAGTTGCAGCTGCCTGAGAGAAGGCATGAATGTCCCGGGATTCCACTGCTTATAAGCAGGCTCTGCAAGACGGTCAATTTGCACCAATTCCTGGTGTTAGCACTCCCCATCACTTCATGAAGTTCCCTTTCCTCCCCCACCCACTTTATTAAAACCCAAGTGTTCCCAGGACAGCCTGTGCTCTTTTGGCAGGGGCTGTGAGACTGGACTTAAAATACCGATGGGTTGTGTTACTGTGTTAGCATGCTGCTGGTGTGGTTCTGCAAAGTGCAAAGCAGTGGAGGGAAATGGCAGATATTGGCAGTTCATAGCAGCAAAAGTTGAGGAAAATGCATTAAAGAAAAGACAGTTCCCCAGCTTTAGGGCTTCCTCTCCACCAAACTGTGAAATTCTGCCACAGACAAATGGAGGCATGAGAATCCCTAAAATAGTTAGGTACAAAAAATCCTTATTATAATAATACACAAAGACTCTTTTGTGCTGTGAAATGACTGGCACCTTAGCCACAGCAGCTGCTGTTAGCGATCCCCTAAATGACAGTTATGAGGATGATGACAGTAATAATATACCTTTGAAGGATAAAGCCTTTATTAAAGAAAAATTAAGTAAATTAATTCCTACTATTACACAGTAATTTGTTTAGGGTCACAGAAAGGTTGAATTCAGCTCTCTTTAGAATCAATGCTTTTCAGGCAGGAATGTGCATCTTCTTGGAAGGGAAACTCTGTTTGTTTCCTGCAGATATATTTGCTTTTTGCATAGCTACTGCCATAATATCATCAAGCCCGTCTTTGTTAGCAAAGGATCCTTTTCACGTCGCTCACCATTTTAGTTCCCATAACAACAGAATGCATTTGTATCGGAAACCCAGCTTCTCTCGGCTCTTTTGGGTTAAGATTGTTTCTTCCACCTAAAAGAAGCTCATGGCACACCAGAGCTTTCTGCAAACCTGAAAACTTGTGTAGTTTAACACAGCTGGCGATGCAATGAAGTGCTGAACTACCGTATTTAAAAAACAACTCCAGGTGATGTGACAATTTCAAATGTCTGCAGCTTTTGGCTGGGCTTGTACCTCTTGCAGCCAGAGATTGCTACCCCATATCTGCGATTTCTAATTAAGATATGAAATACATGTTGTTGAATGTGCCTTTTTAGATTCCAACAGATTCATTGTGTATTTATGAAATTACACAGCCATACCAAAGTTGGCCAGCCTAGCAAGGATTATCTTCAGCCTATAGCTCTTTCCCCGAATTCAATACTGCAGGCACAATTTAATGCAAACCCAATTTATGACTTAATGCTCCAGGGACCATGGTGGAAGATTGTTACATTATTCTTTTCTAATCCTATTTGTGTTTTAATTTGCTAAGTCTGTAATGAGGTGCATGCCTTGAATAGATTCAAGATCTTTCACATTGCTTTTGACTTTGTTTAATATAATAGATTGTACAGTTTGCATTCAGAATTGAGGTGTTCCAGTCAGTACTATCTCTTCATTTTCAAAACTAGAGTGAATAAAATTATGTTCTGAAAGTAATTGTATCCATGTTTCCTTGTTTATCACTTAATGGTTTATTTCCTGTTATAATTTTCTGTTACACTGTGTGAGGTAACAAAAACCAATTCTCAATGGACTCTGATTTGACTGTTTGAAATTACTCCCCCAAACACTCTGAAAATATTATGGAGAAAATAAAGCACCCACTACTAAGTGGCTGGCTATACTGCTGCTCTTTTTTTGTGGGTTTTTTGTTTGTTTGTTTTTTTAACTGCTTCCTTAATCTTTTTGTGCTGATGAACCTATAACAGAAATAAATAGAGCAAAACTTCAGCTACAGGAAATACCCAAGTGCTTGCAATCAACTTACCTTTATTTACGCAAATGATTTCTGGTGAAAAATCTACCTCAATATATCCAGAGCATTTTTGTTGTAAGTTTTCTCTGATCATAGTTACATTCATCTATACAGAGAATAGAAATCCCTCTTTCACTGCATTTCTAAATTTGAACTTTGGTTCCATTTTGTTTTGAGAGAGGGAAAAAAAAAAACAAAAAAATTCCACAAAATATTTAATCTTAATTATAAAACATACCATACTGTAAAAACATAATAATTCAGAGAGAAAAAAAAATATTTGAAAAGGAATCATTCAATGCCTTGTTTCAAAGTGTCAGGATAGGAAAGGATGGACAGAGAAGTGGGGAGGGGACAGAAAGCAGTACCATCATGATGGCTTGGATGTTTGCTGAGCTCTTTTATCAGACAGGATGCAGCACTAATATCATTTTTTGATTGGTTCTCCTCACTGTCATACGAATCTGTGTCTTGAGTCCTGTTCTGCCCCTAAGAGCCATACAGGGAGAATGTGATGGTTTTGGTTCCAGATGGATGGTCAGAGCCATTTGATG